AGTGTTAGAATATTAACATGGTCAGATGCTGAAGGCCACACTGGCACAATTCAACCGTATGTTTTACCAGATCTGCCTTTGAATTTATGGGGTCGAGATGTGCTAACTCAAATGGGGGCTTATCTTTACAGTCCTAGCCCCGCAGTAACAAATATGATGTGTCAGCAGAATTATTATCCAGGGCAGGGAATGGGAAAAGATTCCCACGGAATAATTGAGCCAATTCAGTCTAAGAAAAACCCCATGAGAAGAGGGTTGGGTTTTCCCTTGCAGTGACTACTGATACTCCTGTCCCCCATGCTGATAAAATTATCTGGAAATCTGATGATCCAGTATGGGTGGATCAGTGGCCACTGACAAAAGAAAAATTAATGGCAGCTAGGGAATTGGTACAGGAGCAATTAGCCCTAGGTCATATTGAACCATCCACCTCTCCATGGAATTCTCCTATTTTTGTAATCAGAAAAAAGTCAGAAAAATGGCGATTACTGCAAGATTTGCGAGCAGTAAACAAAACCATGCATCCCATGGGAGCCCTACAGCCAGGCCTCCCGAATCCTATGACAATTCCATCTAAATATTTAAAAATTATAATTGATTTAAAAGATTGCTTTTACACTATTCGCCTGCATCCCGTAGATTGTCCTAGGTTTGCCTTTAGTGTACCGTCTATTAATTTTGATAAACCAATGGATCGCTATCAGTGGAAAGTTTTGCCACAGGGCATGGCCAACAGTCCTACTCTTTGTCAGAAATTTGTTCATAACAGCATTAAGGACACAAGACAGCAATATCCTACAGTTGTATGCGTACATTACATGGATGATATTTTGCTAGCAGCAGAAAATTCTTCCTTGTTAGAGGAAGCCTTTGGTCACATGCAGATACAACTCACAAAAAATGGTTTAAAAATAGCAGTAGAAAAAATTCAAAGAGATTACCCTTTTCAGTATTTAGGATTTCAGCTATATCCAAAGCACTTTCTACCACAAAAAATATCAATTTCGCTAAATAAATTGAGCACATTAAATGATTTTCAAAAACTGTTGGGAGACATTAACTGGATGCGGCCGTATTTAAAATTAACCACTCATGATTTAAGCCCACTTTTTCAAACCCTTGAAGGAAATCCAGATCCTAGTTCTCCACGTCAGTTAACTCCACAAGCAAAGGAAGCCTTGCGGAAAGTTGAACAAGCAATTGAGACAGCTCGAGTTACCTATGCTTCTCTTACTGATCCATGGAAATTAATAATACTCCCTACACCTCTTGCTCCTACGGGTGTTCTCTATCAGGATGGTGTATTATATTGGATTCATGGTAAGCATACCCAATCTGGCACGTTACATTCGTATCCCATGCTTATTGCTGAGCGAATTCGAACAGGTCGCCACCTTAGTATTATGTATTTAGGGAAGGAACCTGCCACAATTGTTCTTCCATATAAACCTGATCAACTTACCTGGCTTTTTAATGTGCTAGATGATTTTGCTTTAGCTTTTGCAGGATATACAGGGGAGATTACTAATGAATATCCAAAAGATAAAATTCTCAGCTTTGCAGCTTATCATTCAATCACTTTCCCAACAATTGTTAAGCGGCAGCCGCTCCCAGCAGCACTCACAGTTTTTACTGATGGTTCCTCTAATGGTCGTGCTGTATTAGTTACCACAGACAACACTTACACTTGGAATTTAACAAATGTATCAGCACAAATGGCAGAGCTTTATGCGGTATACCAAGCCCTTCTACAGTTTTCACAACCATTGAATATTATTACTGATAGTGTGTATATAGTCAATGCTCTGCAATTACTTGAGACTGTTCCACGAATCAACTCTAAGGTCACTTTTATTCAACAATATTTAAGCCTGATTCAATCTCTCTTGATCGAAAGAAATCACCCCGTATATATTGGCCACATACGAAGCCATACTGGTCTACCAGGGCCTCTTGCTGATGGTAACAAGCAAGCTGATAATTACACCAGGATTTACATGGCCAATTTGCAGAAAGCTCAGCAATTACATAAATTACATCATGCTTCTGCTCGCGCTCTCAGAAAACTTTGCCACCTTACCAGAGACCAAGCCCGACAAATAGTCAAAAATTGCTCTGCTTGTGCACCCCTATTACCTGTTCCACACTTGGGTGTAAATCCACGCGGCCTGCAACCTAATGACTTATGGCAAATGGATGTCACCCACGTGCCCTCCTTTGGTAAACTCTCTTATGTTCATGTCACTATAGACACTTATTCACATTTTGTAATGGCCACCCCATTATCAGGAGAACGTGCATCTCAGGTCTGTACCCATCTATTTCACTGTTTTTCTATCCTTGGCATCCCAAAAACCATCAAAACTGACAATGGCCCTGCATATACTAGTGACACCTTCCAAAATTTTTGTAAGCAATTTTCTATTCATCACAAAACTGGTATTCCATATAATCCCCAAGGCCAAGGGATCATCGAAAAATGCAATCATCTCCTCAAGCAGCAATTAAATAAATTAAAAGGGGGGATATGGGGATTCAAGGACACACCCACCTCCCTGTTAAATCATGCCTTATTTATTCTTAATTTTTTACAAGTTGATAATGATGGGTTGTCTGCCGCTGACAGGCATTGGAATCCTACCAATAAGCCCAAGCCATTAGTATACTGGCGGGACCCACAGGATAGGCAAATACGTGGACCAGACCCAGTATTAATGTGGGGACGAGGGTATGCTTGTATCTTCCCTACAGATGAGCCATCACCACGGTGGATCCCTGAACGACTCATTCGACATGCCGAAAACCAAGATGGGAAAACTGCGGAGGAAGATGCAGAGACTGATACTAACCCAGACGTGGGAAAGAAAGATGCAAGTGAGAATACGACTCGTGGCCCTAATCCTTAGTATCTTTTGGATCCTACATCATGGCTGTAAAGCAGAAACATATTGGGCATTTGTACCCAATCCTCCTATCATTCATCCAGTAACATGGGATGAACCCGTGGACATTCCGGTTTACAACAATCAAACAATGTTTATGGGGCAATATTCAGATGGACACATAATAGAGTTCTCTGCGCGTTTTAATTATTCTGGAAAAGTTGATGGTATGCCTATATGTTTTCAGATGAATCAAACACAATCCCTGTGTGAGAAAGTGGTAGTGCAAAATGATTGGGATACCAATGTTTCAACAGGAATTCATTGGGCTCTGAATTTTCTCTATATAGATTTAGCTAATGGGACAAGAGGTTCTGGAATGCCTCCCTTAAATTTTCCTTTATGTCAAAGCACAATCACTCCAAAAACAGAATTTGCACCTTTATGGAGAGCATGTCGAGCTAACGAAACAGTGTGCATTAATTCCACTATCTGTGATTGGAATATGATAGGAAATCAAGGGCGACCAATTAATTTGGTCTCAGGAATTTGGACAAAAAACAATCATACGTTCTATTCTAATTTATGGAAAGCAGTCGCAGCTATGGAAAAAATCAAAGCAAAACGATTAAACTTGACTTGGATTCAAATAAATAATAAATGGGCAATGACTGCAGAGAGTTATACAACTGAATTTTATATGCGAGCTTGTGTTCCAGAACCTTATGCCTTTTTAACCGGACCACTAAATATTGTGAATAACATAGTGAGTTGTACCGATTGTGTAATCTCTAATTGTCTTAATAGTAGCAGTAGTTCCTTCTTGTTAGTAAAGCAACCCGATTACGTCTATCTTCCTGTAAATTTGACACATTATTGGTATGCTGATAAGGGAATGGAAATTCTCCAAGAAACTTCTTTGCAATTAATAGAGAGATCTAAGCGAATGGTCGGATTAATAATAGCCGGAATAGCTGCGCTCATTGCTGCCATAGCAGTAACTACAGTAGCTTCTATTTCTTTAACAACTAGTATTCAGACAGCAGCTTATGTTAATGAATTATCAATTAATGTATCTAAAGCATTACAAAATCAAGCTACATGGGATGAAAAGATTGAACTGCGTCTCAATTCCTTAAAAGATACAGTAGACATCCTGGGAAGACAGTTACAAATTATAGCTACTCGTGAATCTCTCTTATGTCATGCAGAATACCGAGCTATCTGTGTGACTCCTGTTGAATACAATAATACCAAATTCTCTTGGAACAAAATACAAGATCATCTTCAAGGCATATGGAATAATGCGAACACGTCATTAGATCTTAGGGAATTGAGACAGCACATTCACGATATGATACAATCACACCATATAGATCTTTCAGTAGCAACTCAAACTACTACATTTATAAGCGCTCTAAAATCTGCATTTCCGTCCTTCAAATCATTTAGAAAAGGAATTTATGGGCTGACAGTCATTGCAATAATAATAATCATAGGAATTCTTGCTTGTCCGTGCTTGATGAAAATGATAACAAATAGATTCCAAAATTTGCGTATAAATCTTAAAAAATTGGAGATGGAAAACACAAAAAATAAACCACCACCACCTCTGGTCTAATAAAATAAAAAAGGGTGGAATGAGGAAGACTGTTAAGCAAAACAGACCTGGCTGGCCTGAAAGGGTCAAACAGGGAACACGCGGCCCCTCCTGAAAGGGAAGGACTGCCATGTGGAACATGCAGCCCCTCCTGAAAGGGAAGGACTGCCATGTGAAACATACTGCCACGTGAAACATGCAGCCCCTCCTGAAAGGGAAGGTCTGCCATGTGAAACTGGCAAGCATAAGCTACAGCTTCTTCGTTCCGTGACCAAGAGCAGAACGTGTTCTGTGGAAAGAACACCTTTTGATCACTGTACTGACCATAATCCACAAAGAGCTAATTAAGTAATGATGTATTGCTGTCAGCTGCATGAATGTTATCTGATTTAAGTATTGTATACTCCTGTAGCTAAAAGATATAAAAACCCTGTAACAACAATAAACTTTGCTTCTTGCGCCACCAGAGCCTAAGCCCGTCTGTCCCAGGCGTCTTGAGCTGGTCTCCGTCAAGGTCCATGAGATTGAGGTCATTTTCAAGCTGTTGATTAGATCGGATCAAGGTCACAGCTTCCTCACACAGTTTCATTAGCTCCAGCTCCTCCTGAAAATCTGGGTCCGATCGAGCAAGTGAACCAATTTCCCAACCACAGCCGTAGGTGGGTTTTCAGCATTAACTGAAAACAAGAGACAAAACAGCAGAGGACAGGAAACAAATTAATGCATGTGTTACCTCTGTGCAGACAGCATGTCAAGCAGCAGCCAGTCCAGGATCAAATTAACACCAATGGGCTTGAATAACTCCTGACAGCATCCGGAACTTCTGGCATGGAATAAATCACGACAGAAGTCAACGCTATAGGATGAAGTCAGTATCAGCTTAGGGGAGTCCACCTTGCTGAACTTACCCCAAAGATCAGCGCTCCTATTTCCCAGCAGCAAAAGTACTACCGTGAACCAACTTTGCACAGAATCACAGAATGTCAGGAATTGGAAGGGACCTCCAAAGATCACCTCGTCCAATCCCCCTGCTGGGGCAGGATCACCTAGATTAGGGCACACAGGAACATGTCCAGGTAGCTGCTGAATGTCTCCACAGGAGATCCCACAACCTCTTTGGGCAGCCCATCCCAGTGTTCTGTTACCCTTGCCGTGAAGAAGTTGTTCCTCTTATTTATGTGGGACCCCCTATGCTCCAGCTTGCACACATTGCCCCTTGTCCTATCACTGGATGTCACTGAGAAGAGCTTGCCTTCATCCTCCTCACGCTCACTATTCACACATTTATAAACATCAACGAGGTCACCCCTCAGTCTCCTCCAAGCTAAAGAGACCCAGCTTTCTCAGCCTTTCCTCACAGGGAGATGCTCCACTCATCAGGGCAGAGTAGAGGGGAAAGAGCACCTCTCCACCTCCTATCCCTACTCTTTCTCATACACCCCACGATGCCCTCTTGGCCACGAGAGCACAGTGCTGGCTCATGCTCCTCCTACCGCCCACCAGGATCCCCTGATCCCTTTCTCCTACGCTGCTCTCCAAGAGCTCAGCCCCCAACCTATACTGGTACTCAGGTTGCTCTTGCCCAGATGCAAGACTCCACACCTGCCCTTGTTCTTTCTCATTCCGTTTCTCCCCACCCAACTCTCCAGGTCTCGCTGGAAGGCAGCACAGCCTTTTGCTGTGTCAGCCACTCTGCCCAGTTTTGTGTCAGCCGGGAGAAATGAGGGCTTCAACTTGGATCAGCTCCTTCTTTCCATCACTGTTGTTATGCGGCAGGCTGTCAGCTGAACCGCAGCCATTTGTGCCTCCCAACAGCTCTCCATTGGTGGAAGCACACAGCCCAGCATCACTACATGCTCTGGCTCTGCTCGGTTGACAAGAGCACGAATCACCTATAAAAGAATGAACAGGGGTTGGTGTCAAACTCTCCCAGGCTGAATTACAAAAGTGGTTCTTGATCAGGGGAGAACTGAAGGTGTCAGGTATGGGCTGGAACGCTAGAAGGGCAATCAAGCCCAGTGACAGCATGCATTCTATGTTGCTGGAAAGCAGAGCTTTGGAAGCAGGATTTGCACTCTTACCTGCCAGCACTACGACTTGCATTTCTGCAGGCTCCCTGGCATTGCACTGCAGTTGGCGTTTGGCCACAGAAGACGGTTTTCCCAGGCTGAAACAGGAACACCAACAGCCAGCTGCTGATTCCTTCAAGGAATGGACGCTGCCGGAGGAGAGAGGTGCTAGGGAGCAGCCAAGGCATCACAGTGCATCCAAAAGCCCTGAAAGGCATCACAAAGCCACCGCCAGGAAGCTTGGGGTCACCACGAGCAGAATCCAGGATGCTAGAGATTATTTGCTACCGTACCAACTGGGACCTGCAGACATCCCAAAGCCAGACAGAATGGGAAATAACCCAGAGCTCTGCTTCGTGCACCCTGCAGCCTCAGCGTTGCCAGCAGAGGTGCCTTGCTGTGTGCCGCATTCATCCCAGTCCTCGTGAATGAAGACTCCACAGGCAGTCAAGGCGTTGAGTGAGTATAAGTGCGCTTTTATTATTAAAGGAAAACACAGGAGGGCGTGAGAGGTCCAGGTAAAGATGGAAATCGTCCTCTCTTGGATGGAAAGATCACGTAGAGAGTGGCTCAGAGCTCTCAGAGATGCTGCACGGTGCCTGGGACTGGAGGCCTGATTGTACGCCCCCCTCCAAGAGGCTCTGCTGCTCCTCCTCGCTGATGCTGACCTGCTCCTGCACAGAGGTGTTGCTGTCGGGGCACTCGGATTGTACTTGGGCTGGGCTGCACTGCAAAGGTGCCGGGTCACAGTCCAGGCTGGTGACTGCGGTGCCTGGTGGGCACAGGTCAGCATCTTCAGCACAGCCGGGAGAAATGAGGGCTTCAACTTGGATGAGCTCCCTCTCTCCATCACTGTTGCTACGTGCAAGGCTGTCACGTGATCCGCAGCCATTTGTGCTTCCCAAGAGCTCTCCATGGGTGGAAGCACACAGCCCAGCTTCGCTACTTTCTCCGGCTCTTCTGGGTGGACAAGGGCTCAGTTCATCTAGGAAGGATACACAGGGGTTAGTGCCAAACTTTCACAAGCTGAATTACAAAAGGGGTTCTTGATCAGGGGAGAACTAAAGGTGTTAGGTATGGGTTGGAACGCTGGAAGTAGATACAAGCCCACTGACAGCAAGAATTCTATGTTGCTGAAAAGCAAGGCGTTGAAAGCTGGATTTGCACCCTTACCTGCCAGCACTACGATTTCTATTTCCGAGGGCTCCCTGGGATGGTGCTGTGGCTGGCGTTTGGCCCCAGACGATGGTTTCCCCAGGCTGAAGCAGGAACACCAACAGCCAGCTGGTGATTCCTTTATCTTGCTGGGTGGACTTGGTCTGGAGAGAGAAAACAGGGAATGGTGGGAGTCGTGCGTGGCGCAGGGTGAGGGAAGAGCTGCACTGAGCTCGTGCCAACAGTTGCTTGTTCCTAGCACCGCCTGGTTCCTGCTGAAACGCAGCTTAGAAACTCGCTCCGTTTCAAGCAGTTGAGGATGGTTCCATTCCTATAGCTCAGCCCTGAAGTCTTGCTGGCTAAATTCCCCTCAACTGTGTCAAGCAAGATGCAGAGCATGTGAGGTCCACAGGCTCCACACCTGTACAGGACAGCATCAAAGGGTGGCTTTGATTGAGTAGGCAGGCATAACTGCTGGCTGAGCAATTGCACAGCCATAAAGGAACTTCAAAAGCATCTCTGACTCTGACACTGACAGCTCATCAGCCCATTTCACTGCCATGTCTAGTTTCTAGTGTCAGCAGGTCTGACCAACAGCTCTGCGTAGAGGAGAACCACAACTGGATTCAGGCACGAGGCTCTGAAATCTGGAAAACCCCAACCTTTCCAGGTACAGCCAGCACAGGCCAGGGTAGACGTCAGCGTGGCTTTGTGCATCTCATCACTGCCTGCCCAGCAAGGAAGGAACGGCACCGTTGTGAGGCTAAACTGAGCCCGGCGGGCAACTCAATGTTAGTTGAATCTCACAGTCCAAAGGGAGGGGAGATTCACTGCAACACTTCAGGCACCATTCATTAAATCTAATTTCCACAAGTTTAGGCACTAGAAAGAATGGAGACAGAACAAACACAACCCACCCAAACAGTGATGATAGCTGCTGGAAAACAAAGTCCTCTTTACCTTTCAGGTGGAAAGTCGATGACTGTGTGGAATTTCCCCCGTACAGCTGTGGGGCCTTCTTCCACCTCTATGTCACTGCTCTCTGTCGCAGCGACAGGAGAGCTGCTGTGGCCTCGCCTCCGTGCCTGTGCCTCCTCCAGGCTGAGCAGCTCTGTGGCAGGGTAAGAGGTCCGCACAGACTGGGGCCCCGAGAGTGAATTGTGCCCTGGAAGGGAAAACCACAGGTGAGAGCCAGGATCAGAAAGCGGCAGCACAGCCATCCCAGGTCCGGGGGAGCTGCTGTGTTTTCCTCAGACTTGCTTAACCGAGCCACTGGAAGAAGAGCAGCTCAAAACAACCATGTGCTCAGAGGTGTGTCTATGGCAAAGGACGCAGTCATCATTAAGAGCAGCTCCCTGTATCAAAACAGGCAAACAAAAACCCTAGAAAATGGGGGCAGGGAACTGAGAAAGCTCCGCTGCCACACGTTAATCAAGCTTCACCTGCTTGCAAAACATCATAATGACAGTGACGGTTTTTTCTCCTTGTCAAGTTTGGGCTTGCACATTCTCAGCATCCAGCAACTGGACGCCAGATTCCAATCTAAGCCCAGAAGTCTGCTGTTCCCTCGACAGGAAAAGTGTATTTCAAAGGACTTGGAAAAGGCCTGCATTTGATCCAGGTGTCTGACCAAGACAAAGCTAATGGAGGAAGACACTCACCTGCTCCATCTGCAATGTCCGATCCGGATGTGGAGCAGAAGAGGACGTCTGTGTGGTCGATGATGAATTCCACCACAGCCGACTGCGTCTGCAGTTCCGTGCAGGCAGCTCTCCCGCTGGCGCAGGCAGACTCGCTCTGCTGTGATCTGTAGAAAAGGCAGGTTTTAGAAGTCATTCAGCCAAGATCGCCTCCCCAGGTCTGAATTACTGCAGCCCAAAGCTGTCACATTTGTTCTCAGGAGACTTCCGCAGTGGGCATATAAGAGATGCCACTGAAGAAGTTCTCCTGTCTGATCAAGGACACACCAGTCCCATCTAAACAAGAGAGCAGCAATGCTCAGCTAGAAATTGTGCCCACGCGGGGTTGGAGAACAGTCCGGGCTCCTGCTCTGCTGTCAGCCACTCACTGCACATTTTACAGGAGAAGAGCACATGTGGTGCAGAAGAAGGGAGGACTGCTTTATTCTACTGGAGAACAGATGTAAGCGTTCTGTTGAAACGGAAAAAGAAGTTTACCTTAGGAGGTTTGGAGCCCACACAATGGCTAAGTTCTTAGCGTGCATGTTGGTGACAGAGCTGTTTGCAGCAAGACAGGCCAAGTGTCTCATCAGGAACACCAGGGTCCTGGGAAACAAGAGAGGCAAATGTTCAGCACCAGCCAGCATGCCGTGCTGCCACTCACAAAGCAAACCTCAATTCACACTAGTTGTTCTTACTGCTACTGATGCTGAAGATGAAGTAGATCCAACTTGACCAAGTGCCACGCTGCAGCACCCAGCACCAGCACAGCACAGCCACAGCCATCAGCTGCACCAAGCCTACCCCCGTGCCCAGGAACTGACCCAATAAATTAACCCTGTAAATTAAACCGGTGCAGCCTTCAACCGCTTCAACATACCCAGGCATCGTGTTGCTCATGTGAGACAAAGCCTGGAATCGCACCATTGCCCTCTGAAGTGCAGCAGGGCTGAGCTCAGCAGGCTGAGGGCAGCACTGACCTGTAGTGAGGAGCAGGCAGCTGCTGGATGACGTCCCGCATTCTGACCAGCCGCTCCTCCTCTGTAGTGGCACCAACAGCATCCTGGAAAAGGGCAGAAAGGGATTGAGACACAAATCAGGCGAGATACCTGCCGCAGGGTCGGGAACCATGGGCACAGTGCGCTGCTGGTCAGCACTGAGAAAGATTTTAGGCCTCCCCAGAGGCATCTGGCAAACATAGCGGCACGCAGCTGGTGCCACCAAGGCCAAGGAGTCCAAGCACCGGGCCGGTTTACAGCCTGGTTGGGCAGCTCAGCTCCTCGCAGGGGGCATTCATCTCCAAGTACGCTTGGCTATTAATCCCCTTCCTGTTCCAGAAATAGCTGGGGAATAGCAAAAAACAAACAAACAAACAAACAAACAACACAGGAATTCTCGCAAGCACTGTGAATATGGAAATAACCACCTCCTGGGGCCACCAGAAGCGGCATCAGCACGATGCAGGATGTGGCAAAGACATGCGAGTAAACCCCATGGGGTTAACAGAAGAAGGGCCTCAGAGCCGGGGCACTGCTGCAGCCATCTCCCAAGAGGCCCAGCGAAGAGGGAAAGGAAAGGCGTTGCCTCGTGCTTACCGAGAACTTGTCGTACAGCTGGTCGGTCAGCAGGGGGGTCGGGAGCTCCCTGAAGTACATTTTGCAGAGGGAGCTCGCGCTGTGAACGTCGCGGACGGTTAGCTCAGGAACCTGCTCACACTCAAATTCCTGGCTGCAGAGAAGGACACGAAAGCGGTTGAGAAAGAGGAAAGCAAGTCAAAAGCCACACCCAATGCAATCAAGAGTTGGAAGGGCTTCCTGATGTACAGGAGAACACAAACACTCGGCCACCAGCACCACGTCAGCCGTGCTGGATGGGATGTTCCCAAAGGAGTCCTTTTCTCTGTGCTAAGGCATTGCCCGCAGGCCTCTGAACGCCCGCAACAGGGCACGTGCCCCTGCTGGCAGCTGTGTCTGTCAGTCGCAGCACTCTTACCGCAGTCTCTGGACGTTGGACGCCACGCCGGACAGGCGGTATATCCCCTGCACCACGCCATGCTGCTCGATGAACTCGGCGCAGCTCTGGAGGACCTGGGGGACTAAAGAACACGTGCCGGCGGTTACTGGAGCTCCTTAGTCAAGTCCTGCCTCAGGCTGCGCTCCCGTCACATCCCATCCACTAAGCCCAGCCGGGCTTGGCTGAAGCAAATACAAACGTGCTTGTCTCTTGGGAGCATTAGCCTCACTTCATCTTTCAGCCATCAACTCCCATTCCCCGTTTCTCCACTGGTATCAACCTGCCCCTTGCTACATACCATCTCCCTTTCATCGTTAGGTTCTCAAACAGGGAAGCTCTCAGGAATGGGCTGTCCCTTACCATCACGACCAGAGTGAAGAAGATGCTCTCCCAGGTCACGGCCGAACACCCTCTCCTTCTCCACCTCCCGCTCTTTCCGTTGCTTTGGGCGGGCCTTCACCACGGAACGAAGGAAGGTGAGGAGCTTGCCGCGCTTCTTTGGCACTGCACAACAAAAGGAAGAAACCAGTTCATCTCAGGTTTGGCTCCGTTGGACGAGGCCGAGCACAACACATTCTACAGAGCACCTCAAAACGGGAAGAACATGATGAGCAAGTGCGTACCAAAATGGATTTTCCCCAACCCTGGATGAGTCCAAGGCCAGACTGGATGGGGCCCTGCGCAGCCTGGTCCAGTCCCACTTTAAACGTGGAGCTTGGTTGGCAGCCCAGCTTGACGCAAGGGGGCTTGGAGCTTGATGATCCTCGAGCTCCCTTCCACGCCAAGCCATTCTACAAGGATTCTAGGATTTCCCCAACTCCAGTCATAAAACACAGGAGGACTGGGCCAAATCTCTGCACGTTCTGATGGAGTTGAATGCACTCCTCTTGCTTAGCTTGCTCAACCTGGGCATTAAGGACCCTCTTGAAAAGCCACGTTCTGATCAAGCGTGTCACTAGCACAACCAGACCTCTATCTGTCCACCAGGGACGCTGGCTGTTCTCAGCCTCGTACGGACTTGCCGGAGAACTGCCTTGGCCTTCCCTCATTCTCACTGCCTACAAAACACCAGCCATACGCCCCGTGCTATGCAGGAAGGATTATCAGCACAGAGGATAAGGGGGGAAGGATAAGGGAGGTATTAAACATGGAACACACCCAAAAAAGACTCCATTTTGCTTCCCTGCACCATCAAATGTCTCATCGTACCTGGCTTTGGCACTGAATTGATGAGAGACTCCGGGATTTTTCCGTTAATGAGCTCCACACACTCACCAGGGAAAAATCCAACCTGTAACAAGAGGAAGAAGAGACGTGCAATACTGAAGGCAGCGTTTCTCAGGCCTGAACTGTTCAAACATCACCTTTTCCTCATCACGTGCCTGCCGGATGCTCCGTAAGACAATCCAACCAAAAAATGGCCTGCTTAAAATTAATAATTATTCCAAATTGGCAGGCAAATATCCATAAAACTGTGTATGGAGCGGGGAAAGGACAAGTATGCTATGCACCCCTAAATCTCAAGCGTGCCCGAAGGGAAAGACTTCATACAGAAGCTACATATTATGATAGATTGATGCAGCTAGATCTGAGTTGGCACAGCCTATGAACTTTCTGCTTGCTGACTGAGATGCAGCTGCCATCCCCAGCTCTGAGCTACCCAGCGTTCTGCAGCCAGCAGCAGCAGCAGCAAGCGCGCAGAGGCTCTGTTACCCTGCCTCATCTCAGCTGACAGGCAGCGACTTCCTAAAAGACGCTGACTTCACCTTCTGCATGGGTGCAAGCACAAGTGCTCAGAGACACTGAAACACGTGTCCTAGCTGCTGCATTTCCAAAGGTGCGGTTCAGTGGCCGTGACCTGATGCACGCTGTGAGGGCTCTTCTTTCTAAGTTAACTGAGGAGGCAGTTTCCTACAAAGACCAACTTTCAGCTCTGGCCTAAGCCCACAGCAAAAGGGAAAGTCCTCTGACACCAGCACAAGGAAACCATTTTCCATGTGGAGCCATGCTGTGCAGGCAGGGCAGCTCTAAGCTGAGATTCCTGCCTCGACCGAAGTTGCGCTCTCACGTCTGAAGCTTGGGCCTACCTGAAAGCCGTGCTTGCCTCTCCAGCGGGGGCTCAGCTCCTGAGGCGGCATCTCGATGACGCACACGAGGTCTCCCACCTGCAAGAGATTGCAACGTCAATCCCAGCTTCGGCACGGCTGGGAGGAAAGCGCAGCTCAAATGACTGCATTCTTCTGCACTGCCCAATATCGTCAAGCTTGAGAGCCATTGCACCAGTGCAGCTCTTCAGGCATTTGCAGTCGTACAACTGAACGTGCAAGTAGAAGAGTCACTCCAATACACAACATACAGAATTCAGCTGTTCAGTATGAAATGGTTCTCAGAAGCAGCAGGCTCTTTGCCAAAGGGAGAGCTCCAATTAAACCGCAGGCATAAGTCAGCCAAACAGATCCTGAACAGATCTGCACACTCCATACACTGCTCTGCCATTGCTCAGAGACCAGGCTACCACACCGGGCAGTAGCTCTTGGATCACAAGATTCCAATGCCAAATAGAGCCATAGTTCAGAGATGGCTGAACTCCTCCCTGCATCCAACCCAGTGCAAGTCTAATCTGGAACCGCACCTTCTGAGCTTCACCTCACCAAACATTCGGAAGGTGTCTGAGAATATTCCTGATAGCTTCACACGTTATACTCTTCTGTACAGGACAACAAGGAACGCCCTTAACTGCTTACCTCCAAGGAGAGTTCACCCGGTGCCTGGGCAACGTATCTCTTAATAACGTGGGCAGCAGCAATAGCTGGGATATTAAGAGATGACTCCTCACGGACCAGCAGGGGCTTCCCGTTGTTCTCAGCCTGAAACAGAGAGCACAGGCCACGGTGAGGAGCTGAGGGCAAACGAGGAGGATTTCAGGCTGAGGAGCATGTCAGCAGAGAAAGCTGCAGGAAGTGCACTCCGTCCTTATCATGGGCACACAAGAAGGAACGGCAAGGCTAAGAACATGCCCGCAGCAAGGAAAGAAAGCCTTGAAGGCAGCTTTTCAGTGACACCGATAGAGCCGCAAGGATTCGCTCTCTCTTGAAAAGCAGGAGAGCACATCTGCAGCTCACTCTGCTGGCTCAAGTCAGGGAACAAAGACCAATCAGAGCTCCACACTCTACCTCCATCCGTGTCATGCCAGGCTCACAGCTGATCTCGCTGCACGCGATGCCCATCACAGCAGGCACGACAAGCTGGAATGAAAAGAAACACGCTCATATTTTTTCTCTTCACACACCACACTATTGAGAGACTTCTTCAGAACTACCCTTGGCTATCCTCTGGCACAGGCGGGTGCTCTAGAAGCAACCACTCTGTTCACTCCGTTCAAATGGGACAGCCCATTAGGCAGCATTTGACCAAGCGGCTGTCCCTCTGCTAGCAGATGGGGACTGGCACAAAGCAGCAGATGCATTCGCCCAGGGCGCTCTGACAGCGCAGCAGCAGGGCAGTGAGAGGAATCATTGCTGCAGGTGCATCTGCTCCCCGGCCCCGGCTCCCAGCAGCCTCACCACCGGCACCTGCTGCAGCCCCGCACATCAAGGATTTCCTCTGCTCGCATCTCTGCTGTGCTCCCTACAGCTGCCGCGCACACTCTCACAGGCCAAGCGTGCGTGCTTGTGACCTTGGGTCACGCTGTGCAGCTCAGCACAAACTGGGCCTAGGACTCTTTGCCTAAGGGATTGCTTTCCTTCAGACCAGCTGGTCACAGCACCACACACAGCATCCTCCTGAGGGCGGAGCTGCAGGGGAAGGGAAAAAACCCACACGGGACCAGTGTCCCATCAACGCTGGGTGAGGCTGTGTTACCAAACATGGTGCGACACACTGCTGGTCAACCACGTGGGGGGACAAAGCGTGGCACGTACCTGGCAGGAGATCAGAACAAGGTAGACAATTCCTTGAACTCGCAGCTGTTTCTTGTCACTTTGCTCTGTGCTTCCACGAGCGAAAGCTGCACCAACGGAGCGGATAGAGGAGAGAGAAGGAACAGGTCTGTGAGCTTGCACAATGCAGCAAAGATGACAAGGGAAAAGCCACGGGACAAATGCCATCTTTGTGGATCGCTTGGGAATGCAGGTACTGGCTGAAAGTTACGTCTGATGGACAAGAGTAAGCAGTACGAGCTGCTAGGAGCTCCACCAGCCAGCAGTTTTCAACAGCTCACTGCCCACCCGTCCATCCCACGCTGTCTCAGCTTACCTACAAGATGCTGCACAAGACACAAGGGGTGAAACCGAAGGCACTCAGTCGCTGCACAAGGGCAACAAGCGAGCTACTCACGCAGAGCTCAAGCGCTCCAATGAAGGGACGCAGCACGCACTGCTCCTCCCCTCATTCCAGCCTCTTGTGACATCACTAAGGGCCACCAGGCTGCTCCGCCATGACGACAGGGTGGGGAGGCAAGACCATGTCACAGGACCAGAAGATGCCAACACCGCACCCAACATTCTAGAATCAGTGGGCCCTTGGAATTCTACCTCAGCCCAATCCTGCACAAGCTGCCATGCGGTTGTCATGACCACAGCGCAGGACCCAGCGCTTGCTCCTGTGCAGCCTCGTACGGCTGGCCTCAGGCCGTCCCTCTGCAGGGCCTTCCTGCCCTCGGGCAGATGGACATTGCTTCCCAACAGCGTACCTCGCAGCGCAGGGCCTATGTACAATCCACACTGCAGTCCTATCGATCTGTATCAAGCTATCTATACCCAGACACACAGTCACCACTACCATCTTCTTTCTCAGTCTTGAGGTACACCATTCAGCGGTTTCATTGCCATCAAACAACCCCACTGACGGCACACTGCTGACACAACGTCCTTGCTAACACAGCAGCAACTCCTGGCACCGACAGCTCCGGGTACAACAAGCACAGGGCTCTGCGTTGCTTTGGATGCAGTTGCAGCATGGATCTGAGGGCTTTGTGGAAGGGGATATATTGCAAATTGCACCGACGTTTTCAGACCATTTCTCTTTCGGCATGGTCCCAGCACCTGGCATGCTGATCATCATCCTGAATATACATTTTGTCAAAGTTCTACAACTAATGAAATAGTTCCTTACCAAACGCAATCTGATCACTCTTCTGGCCATATTTTGTTCCAGCTACCGCTTCCTGCGGGTGGCACCAATAGCGCTGCATCACCTATAGCTCTCTGCTCTTACAGTTCTCATGCTGTCTGGGCAGTCCTCGTGGCCTCACAACTCTCTCATGCCACACGTGCCACATTCTGAGGCACAGAAGATATATCGCACTACTTCAAAACGCCTTTTTTTTTTTTAATACAATGATACTAGGGATAATCATCTGGAGCTAGAGCATTATAAAAAAATTCCCTTTAGTTCAACCATAAGTCTGCCCCATGGACTCCAGAAGAGCTCTAAGAACATGCAGCCTGGACATGGATGGCAGCTACCATAACAGTAAGCAATGAAAAATGAGGTGGTGAGCCATGCTGTGTCATTGCATCTGCGGGCAGGGATTCTCCTTGGACTTAGCAGAGTGCAGATGTCGCCTGAGAAAAGAACTTCGGATCATTCAGGAAAAGCAAATGAGTTGAGTAATTAATTGAAGAAACTCACGTTCTAAAGGTACTTAGAAGGAGAGAGTATTTCCCAACAGAATGGGTTTAACTGTCTATTCCCTGTTTTGCTAGACAGGTCTACTCTGTGTATGCTTAGACTGACCTGAGAGGGCATGCTTCAGCACACCCCACAATTTCCAGTTTCCACATCGTCCAGGCAGCGCAAGTGCGGTGTACGTCTCCCTTGGCACAGACATCAAGCTTTTCTTCCTGTGCAATCAACTAATTATGACGGGGGAAGGGGACAGTACAGGCCTCACAAGAGAAGAGCCTGGCGAAACGATTTTAGAGCTGGGAGTCAGGCAAATGACTCGGCTCAAGTGCACCTATACCAATGCACGCAGCATGAGCAACAAGCAGGAGGAACTGGAAGCCATTGTGCACCAGGCTAACTACGATCTAGCTGCTGTTACTGAAACATGGTGGGACTGCTCCCATGACTGGAGCCTTGAGATTGATGGCTATAAGCTCTGCAGAAGGGATAGACAAGGAAGGAAGCCAGAATATTCATCAATACTGAATTGATCCTGCAATTCAGGAACCTCACAAGCAACCTGAGAAAAGCGTCTAAAAAAAAAAAAAAAAAAAAAAAAGAAAAGAAAAAGGAGAAAAAGGTAATCAGCATACCAGTAGCTGTTCTTCTTCAAACCATGGTTCCCAAGCATACTGCAATTGGACAAGCTATAGCTTATCACATCAAAAGCCATCTAGAAGATTCAGTTATTGGTACTGGCCATGTTGGCATTCGCTCACTGTAAGCATCTGCAGGACAAGTCCATGGACCGAATGACCTTGTGCACCCATCCTTCTGTCTCAGCTGCAAGAACAATCCTCACTCCCAGCCATTTCCAGTTTTCTTTCTTACAAAAGATGAAAGATATAAAGAAGCTCTTCATTCAAAAGTTACTTGATTATACAAACAACTAAATTCCAGCCTGCTTTAATCCAAAGTGCCATCTAGTTTGCATACAGAGAACTAGGGTGCATATAGGAAAGAACGCACGCACACTCTAGTTTTCAATGGCCAGAATATCATAATAAACACATAGAAAAACAGCCTTTACTCTGGAGGCTTGTATGGCAAAGCCAATTGTTTGGACCAGCTCATTAATATACTATATCTAGTTTGTCAATTCCAGCTACGTATTTTATATGTCATTATGATCAATGATTGTGGAAGCCCAAAGGGCAATCTCTCATTTTCAACAGACCTCCTTTTTGACTGAGATGGAATTTATTACATTTAAAATTCATCACTCCTCTTTGTTTGCAACACTGTCCACTGACAAACTCCTCAACACAATCAGCTCAAGTCTTCTACCTGAATTTCTGGGATGACTGTGACAAGTATTCCTTCACGATGCTCAGATGTGCACCGTCTCCCATGAGCATCTTGCTGGACGCAGCATGCTGCAGCATCTTTGCAACAAACCAAGGTTTCTTCGTTGATCTGCAGTCAGCTGCCCTCCAGCTGAAAGATCCATTAGGTCAAATGCATCCGGTGCCACCATGGCCGGATTCACGTAGCGGTGATAGAGTAAGTTGCCAACAATCTAGGACAAGTTGAGGAGAGAAAAAAACACGTGGAAAACCAATGGCACAGACCTCCACTGACTTTTACTGACACTACTCCGAGCGAGTTCTGACCAATTACTTTCCTGTGAGCTGTGGGCCCCGTTCCAGATGCAGGGTCTACTGCGCTGCCATTAATAAGCACATGCTGTCCCAAAGAATCTTAGTTTCACACTGCAACATAGATACATACACTAAATAAATGCACAACTGTGCATTTAATCCAGAAGTAAGAAATTCAGAAGTGCCGAAGATGAGCGGTATTTGACATTTCAAAAGAAGTCCAATTCACCAGCTAAGTGAGCAGCAATGAACGCCGAGGCCCCAAAGATAAAGACAGCCCGTTATCCACGTGCTCATCCATCTACTTCTAACCCGTACTGGACATTTGCCTGCAGTAATTCCCACAACAAAAAGGCATTGGCCCAGCACGCTGACATGCAGCAAAAGTTCCCACGCCACATGCTTCAGTATTTCCTGGAGTTTCACATCAATCTGCGCAGAGCCAAGTCACAGAATCTGGGCTTCTCCTGCTTCACGTGCGATTTGAATGCACAGAAGAGATCAGAGGTGTGAAGAAATGGCAAAAACAGAAAGAAGAAGCTTCGCCATTGCTAAGCTGCCGCAGAAATTAACTGCTTTCAGAGAGGTCATGGTTTTGACAGCGGTTTCAGCTCTTGCTCTACTATCCCAGGTGACGGCACATGGTCACAACAGACAAAACTGTTCACTACCAGTCATAAGAAACACATTTGTGAGAGAAATCATACTGATAATAGTAAAACATGTAGTAGGAAGACAAGAGCAGTACACTGTAGGAGTAGTTTTAGGCCCTAATGCATCTACAGGCAGTCACCGCACGCAGCTGCAGTTCTGAGTGCGGCATGGGCCGTGACATTGTTTCCACAAGGATTAATAAAAACTGCAGCTTTCCACCTACATCTACAGATGGAAAAAATGAATTCACCTGCACAGAAAGAATCGATGCCTCAGAACGGGAAAGCACGGAACCAGAAGAGAGAAGAAAACGGCATTCAGATTGGGAATTACTTCGTAATGAAGCAGAGACAGAAAAGCTTAAAGAGACTGTGGCAAGTAATGTCAAAGCCACTCTTTGTTTTATTAAGAAGAAGAGCACTCACAGACAGAAAGACCTTCAAAATAACAAACGCCAGGACAATCCCAATGAAAGCCACAATGCTGTGCTCATTTGGAAGCATTTACTACTAACATCCTTTTCGTTCTCCAAAGTACGGAAATGTACAACACAAAACTGCCCACACCTCATGAAAAATGACACCATATACTTTGTTGCAGCTACTGTAATGCCCTAGAATATTGTAAGGGAAGTGAGAAGAGTAGAATTCTGCACACGGGCCTTTTCAACTTGGCACACTGTCTCTTTAAAAAAAGAGCAACTGACTCAGATAACACCAGCAAAACCAAGGTGCACCATTCAGCAGCAAGAGCATCCCAAAGCCAAGAAACCTAGGGGGCACAATGCCCAAGATATTAAAAGCAAAAGGAAAAGCAATAGGGTGACTTCTTCTGAACGCTGTATTATGTTCTCCTTTGACAAACATGTATCCAGCAATCCAAAGCACAGGGCAAAGTACTTTATACCCATAACAACAAATAGCCTGTCTACTTAAACTGCAGCTTTGAAACTTCTCTGCACACGTACAGCCAACAAACAACACTGAGATGCATCTGCTGCAGTCAGCGTGGCAGACAATGATTCACAGAGCTGCTCAGCTCCTTACCTTCAGAAGCTCATCCTCGCCAGCATCAGGAAACTTGTCATGCCGGGAGTCTTTCAGTACCTTGGCGATGAAACGCATCCCGTAACTTCGAAGGAAAAAAAAGGCAAGTGAGAATTCCTCACGGATGAACCCACTATTAACTGCTGCAGGATAACGCGGTGACACACCAGACTTACGGGATTTGGTCAGCTGAACAACGATGGCAGACAGGAACTTGTCTGTCACTGCCTTCACATCTCGGATTGAGGCATCCAGGTGCGTCCTCACCTCACCGTGATTAAGAGCTTGTTCAGGTCTAACATCGTACGGCAACTTGCTATTTGGAAAAGTCAGATGTGAAGGTGAGCACTCCTCAGCCTAATATACTTTTGTCAGTGCCAGGCAGAATTGTTGGCTTGACACACAAACAGATCCACGCTCACCTGGCTGCAAAGAGCTGCACGCTTTCACTTTCATTAGAATGCTAGCACTGAAAGAGCAAAGGACTTCTCACGTCCTCTGCTGTCCCTGCAGCAGTCGCTGTGAGAACAGGCCCAGCTAACTCTGAACTGTATCTTTCTGTACCACATGCAGACACGCTCTCTAGAGTCAAGAAGGTCACCTGCGATACGCAGTAGCACCTCAGGTCGCAAATAAATCAGTGAAAACACAAGCTGCACATTGCAGTGTTAAGATAGTAACTCACGCAGCGTGCTGCGCTGGGACAGTTGTCTTTTACTTCATAGCATTGCTTTTCCACCACTTCCCTTGAAGTGCCTTCAAAACAAAACAAATACAACCAACAACAGAATCCTCAAAATCTGGTCAACATCAAGCACTGGAAGAAACACAGAACTCTGACTGGGGACGGATGGGAGCCCATCAAGACTTTATAGACACAGATTAAAGGGAGGACAGGGACAGATGACGTAGCGGGGGATCTACAGGCCAACCAACCAGGATGACCACGTGGATGAAACCTTCTCATGGGCAGACAGGAACAGCTGCATGCTGTGATTCTATGCACACGGCCTGTGTTGAGAAGGAGCACAATGCTCATCTCGTTCCAACCCCCCGCTGCGTGCAGGTTCACCAACCAGCAGCCCAGGCTGCCCAGAGCCACATCCAGCCAGGCCTTGAATGCCTCCAGGGATGGGGCATCCACAGCCTCCTTGGGCAGCCTGCCCGAGTTGTGGGCAGAGATTGGCTTGGTAGAGTAAGAGCTACGGTATCTGTACCTATGAGTTAACACAGAAGAAATGCTTTGGGGCTTTTTTTGGCCTATCTCTTCATGAGATTCACTTCTCATAGTCTCAACACCCCTGTCACAAGATGATCTACTGCGTCCAGTTCTGGGCTCCCCAGTACAAATAAGACAGGGATCTCTTGGAAAGAGTCCAGCGGAGGGCCACGAAGATGGTGAAGGGCCTGGAGCATCTCTGCTATGAGGAAAGGCTGAGTGAACTGGGTCTGTTCAGCCTCGAGAAAAGAAGACTGAGAGGGGACCTGATCCAGGTCTATAAATATCTAAGGTGTGGGGGGCAGAATGGTGAGGCCAGACTGTTTTCAGTGGTGAGTGGAGACAGGACAAGGGGAAACGGCTGGAAACTGCAGCATAGGAAGTTCCGCACAAACATGCGCAAGAACTTCTTTACAGTGAGGGTGACGGAGCACTGGAACAGGCTGCCCAAGGAGGTGGTGGAGTCTCCTTCTCTGCAGATGTTCAAGACCTGCCTGGATGCCTACCTGTGCGACCTGCTGTAGGGAACCTGCTTTGGCAGGGGGGTTGGACTCGATGATCTCTGGAGGTCCCTTAAAACCCCTACAATTCTGTGATTCTGTGATCTTTATACCTGTCAGAAGAAAGCCATCTCGAGCTGATGGAAAAAAGCTGGTAGCAATTGGACAGATGCATGCAATGAATACAGGGATGGTTCGGAACGATTAACAGAGCAATGCAAAGCAGCTGAGCAACTTTCAGAAAAAAAACAGTAGCAACAGCTTCCATACCCGGCCTCACCATTCTGAGATCCCATCTGGTTCACCCAGCACTTGTAAATATCCACTGGATCCGTTCTGACGTTGAGCGATTCGCCCTCAATTATTTCCTTCACAACTGGGGCCAAGATCTGCCTCAGTGCGTTCTGACCACGGGCACCACGGTTGAAAGAGCGCATCTCAAAAATACAGAGGAAACAAAGGGAGTTCTACACAGGCACAACTATTTCCTCTCAGTATTTCAACAAGTAAGCAATCAGCAACAAGAGCCATTCACAGCATGCCGCTGTCACGGAGTTGACCAGATCAATCTATGTCCGTGACAGGGGCGACAGGCCTCTGCCCTCCCCCCCCCACCCCAGTCCCACAAAAATGGGAAGGAAGGAAGGGAGGAAAAGAGCAGCGGCAACAATCTATGGAGGAAAACTTATTTTACTATAATATCAGAATACAAAATAACACAATATATATGATTTAATTGAAATTGAGATTAATAAATCAGACAAGATGAGAGAGAGAGAGTTCCCGGGACCGATTCAAACCTGAAAAGCTTGGAACGGCTAGGAAAGCACCCTCCAGCACCCACTGCCACGCAGCAAGAGAGCGCCCCCCCACCCGGAAGGGCCAGATCCCGTGACTGCTGTAATGTACAGGGATAGGTAGCTGGGATTGGGGCAGTGACACTTTAATGCCCCGTACACTACATGATGTTTTGATGTGGAATACTGAAATCCAAAAACAAGAAAAGCAAAAAACAAAAACATAAAACCATGACATTCCACCCCTTATTCTACATCGTTACATCATGCTTAAAATATATATACATATATACAAACAAACAAAAAATGATTAAAATGCGTACATGGCTATATACATATACATAGAATTAGTAACTGCACTCCCCCGGCATCAAGTTTCCTTGTGGTACACATTGTACATCCCCATTCTTCTGCATTACCCACCAAGTGGATCCTGGTCCCTGGGCAAAAACTGTACCACGGAGAGGTTTGCCCTTTCCAGAAGCTGGAAGAACCCAAACTGCCTTTCCTAACATGTTCTTTACATGTACAACAGGGAGTTTATCTCCCTCTTCAAAAGGCAAATGGGATCCTGGGCTCCATCAGGAGAGGGGTGGTCAGCAGGGACAGGGAGGTGATTGTCCCTCTCTACTCGGCTCTTGTGAGGCCCCACCTGGAGTACTGTGTCCAGGTGTGGAGCCCTCAGTACAAGAAAGACATAGAGATCTTGGAAAGGGTCCAGAGGAGGGCGACTAAGATGATCAGGGGGCTGGAGCACCTCCCCTATGAGGACAGGCTGAGGGAGTTGGGCTTGTTCAGCCTGGAGAAGAGAAGCTGCGGGGTGACCTCAGTGCAGCCTATCGATACCTGAAGGGAACCTACAGCCAGGAGGGGAGTCAACTCTTCAGAAGGGCTGACAACAGCAGGACTAGGGGAAATGGATCAAAGTTGAAGGAGGAAAGATTTAGGTTGGATGTTAGGGGGAAGTTCTTCACAAGGAGAGTGGTTAGGCCCTGGAACGGGCTGCCCAGGGAGGTTGTGGATGCCCCATCCTTGGATGTGTTCAAGGCCAGGTTGGACGGGGTCCTGGGCAACCTGATCTGAATGTGGATGTTTGGTGGCCCTGCTAGGCAGGGGGGTTGGAACTACATGATCCTTGAGGTCCCTTCCAACCCAGGTGATTCTGTGATTCTGTGATTCTGTGATTCTCTATGGTAGGTAGGGAACTGGATTGGTTAGGACCATCACGATTGATAGATCCTCTGGTATTGACTAACCAGGTGGCTTCTGCCAAATGCTTCTCCCAGTGCTTAAATGTTCCGCCACCCACTGCTTTTAGCATCGTTTTTAACAATCCATTGTATCGTTCAATTTTACCAGAGGCTGGTGCATGATAGGGAATATGCATGCAATGAATACAGGGATGGTTCGGAACGATTAACAGAGCAATGCAAAGCAGCTGAGCAACTTTCAGAAAAAAAACAGTAGCAACAGCTTCCATACCCGGCCTCACCATTCTGAGATCCCATCTGGTTCACCCAGCACTTGTAAATATCCACTGGATCCGTTCTGACGTTGAGCGATTCGCCCTCAATTATTTCCTTCACAACTGGGGCCAAGATCTGCCTCAGTGCGTTCTGACCACGGGCACCACGGTTGAAAGAGCGCATCTCAAAAATACAGAGGAAACAAAGGGAGTTCTACACAGGCACAACTATTTCCTCTCAGTATTTCAACAAGTAAGCAATCAGCAACAAGAGCCATTCACAGCATGCCGCTATGGGAAATCCAGCAGCAGAGAATAAAGCATAGACATGCACTTTCCTGAACTACTGCTCCAAGAAAAGATAATAATAATTAAACAAACCTTTTAGGCGTTACCTGTTGGAGGGCACATACCATCCTCACACTTAAAAACATCAAAAAAGGCATGACTGCCTCCAACATTACATGTATTTGCTATTCCTAGCAAGTTGTGAAGCTCCGTATCAGCCAGAAGTCATAAACACCAAACTCCTAAGTGCCAATCAACTCAATTATGCCGACAGACAGCCAGAATCCTTAAGCCTGACAGCCAGGAAAAAACCCAAACCAGACAGCATCTGATTTTCAGCCTCCTCATCAGTTTTGGAAAACAGTGACCTTCGCGTCAGCTTCACTCTGGCCTGTAAAGCCCAAGCTCGCAGTCTGTGCCAAGTCCTTCTTACTAGACAGCAGAGAACTTAGATGGGAATGAATCTTAGGAAAGCACTGCAGTAGATCAAAAACAGTGCCTCCCTGAGCAAGAAAGCACTGGCTAAAGAAAAATGGCTTTAATCCTAAAGAACAAAGGTAATTCCTCCTCCTTCCAGGTTACAGAAAGGACTGACGTGAAACAGCATGAGCAGAAGGCAGGGACAGTTCAGCATTATCAGCTAATGAGCACGGGACATCACACAACAACAGCTGCAATTTTAGCAGCGGCCCAAACTCAGGCAACAGCAAGGCTGTGTCCTATGCTACAACGTACTTGATCTCTTCCTGCAATGCTGTTTGCAACAGCCGCAACAGCAGAGATTCCTCTCTCTGACTGGATGCGTAGTTATGCAGCGTGAAGATGGCTGAATCCATGAACTCTGTGGGGTTGTTTTGAGGCATCTGCAAAAGCAGCTTGGCCAAGTACGTTGGAGTAGTCTAAAACAAGAAGAAAAAGTACTTAGTGCACGTGTATAATCAATGACTATTAAGATGTTGTCATTATGAAATAAACAAGAGAGTTTGACAAAGCAGACTAAGCTAACAAAAGGAGAATAAATAGAAGGCTTACCCCTATCCTGGGCTCACTTACAAAACTCCAGCAGAGCAGATCTGCAGACGAGATCCTTCCCCACTGGCAGCCAGCTCTTAAACAGGTCTAGGAGGGCTGTAGCCTGGCTGCACCCCTTCCAGCAGCACAGCTGCACTGCCTTCACCTGTGCTCCTCTGCCTGACTCACTGCTCGCCTCAGGTGATCAATCAGAGGTTCAGGCCATGACTCAGCAGTTCCCATACAGCACGTGTCCACAAAAGCCAACACCACAAAGACAGACAGCGCCTCAACACTGCAGTGCAGAAGCACAGACTGTTCCAATACACGTAAGCATCTATGACAAGAGCAGTGAATGAAAAGCTGCATACCTCAAGTAGAAAAGATGCTGATAGGCTTCCAGCTTTTCCCTCTCCTCTTTGCTCAAAGCTTGCAAACCTCCCTTTTGCTCGTTCAGTGTCATCACGTCACAGAGCTGTTCCTTGTTCTCCTTGCTAAGATTTTTGCTATGAGAAACAACATCCTGCAAAGAACACAGAGGGACAGATTCCACATTTAAATAACACGCAATATGGGAAAAAGCTGCACGATAGCACTTCCTTTTGGGTGGATAAGGCAGTCAAGGTACATCAGGAGATCGTGAAGTGAAACATTATCTGTTGTAGCAGCGATTTCTGTCTTGTCCCCACATTCCAGAATTGGGTGAGAACCTACAAGGACTAATTGCTTTGAGCAGGGACTACTGTCACAGCTGGTAGCGTTCTGAAGATGCTTGAAAATGCCTTTCTTTCTCAACTGTGCTTGAAGCCCCAAGCCCTGTTTCCATTTTGCTGACTCCCTGCCTCCACTGCTCTGATAACTATGATACTTTTTGCTGCCAGCATCAGCCCAAGAGCTGGAGCCTCCTTTGGAACTGAACTTCACTGCTGCCATGGTTCAGATTTTACACAAGGTCAAGCCTAGCGCCACGCTATTCAGGACCAAAGGAAAAGGTGACTGTAACTTCAGCTTGAGTTAAAAAAAGGCACCGCTGTATCAGCAACGTTGTTCTTGTGTGCAATCAATCGTCAGCAAAGTGACAGAGGGGGCTTCCATCAGCCAACCAACACCAAGCAGTCTGAGCACATTTCCTGCTCCAAAATCACCTCCCCCTTCTGATACAGCACACAAAACGTGAGAAGAAATTAAGGTGTGCAAGTCCATGACTCACGTAACCACAAGTGAACAGACAAACAGTTCTCAGAGCCTTCAAGCATACCATCTATTGCTTTCCCTTGGTCCCGAGTGGGTTTTTTTCTGGTGCTTTGTTTTTAAAACACTTGAAGCCTTGATGTTTCTGCTGCAGTTCTCTTTCTAGGGATACATAGTAATAAGTGGAACAGTTAGGAACTTACTGGGAGGAAAACCTGTAACTCGGGGGGAAATACTTCCCACTGCATCTGAGTAAGTGAGATCCAGGCTCAGAAGGTCCTCATGCTAACTGCCATTGGCCTCAATTCACTCTGCTCGTCTCCCAGCACTGCATTTCCTACCTGCAGTGTCATTCTGTTCTTCACTAGCAGTCCAATCTTCAGGTCCATGAGATTGAGGTCATTTTCAAGCTGTTGATTAGATCGGATCAAGGTCACAGCTTCCTCACACAGTTTCATTAGCTCCAGCTCCTCCTGAAAATCTGGGTCCGATCGAGCAAGTGAACCAATTTCCCAACCACAGCCGTAGGTGGGTTTTCAGCATTAACTAAAAACAAGAGACAAAACAGCAGAGGACAGGAAACAAATTAATGCATGTGTTACCTCTGTGCAGACAGCATGTCAAGCAGCAGCCAGTCCAGGATCAAATTAACACCAATGGGCTTGAATAACTCCTGACAGCATCCGGAACTTCTGGCATGGAATAAATCACGACAGAAGTCAACGCTATAGGATGAAGTCAGTATCAGCTTAGGGGAGTCCACCTTGCTGAACTTACCCCAAAGATCAGCGCTCCTATTTCCCAGCAGCAAAAGTACTACCGTGAACCAACTTTGCACAGAATCACAGAATGTCAGGAATTGGAAGGGACCTCCAAAGATCACCTCGTCCAATTCCCCTGCTGGGGCAGGATCACCTAGATTAGGGCACACAGGAACATGTCCACGTAGCTGCTGAATGTCTCCACAGGAGATCCCACAACCTCTTTGGGCAGCCCATCCCAGTGTTCTGTTACCCTTGCCGTGAAGAAGTTGTTCCTCTTATTTATGTGGGACCCCCTATGCTCCAGCTTGCACACATTGCCCCTTGTCCTATCACTGGATGTCACTGAGAAGAGCTTGCCTTCATCCTCCTCACGCTCACTATTCACACATTTATAAACATCAACGAGGTCACCCCTCAGTCTCCTCCAAGCTAAAGAGACCCAGCTTTCTCAGCCTTTCCTCACAGGGAGATGCTCCACTCAGCAGGGCAGAGTAGAGGGGAAAGAGCACCTCTCCACCTCCTGTCCGTACTCTTCCTCATACACCCCACGATGCCCTCTTGGCCACGAGAGCACAGTGCTGGCTCATGCTCCTCCTACCGCCCACCAGGATCCCCTGATCCCTTTCTCCTACGCTGCTCTCCAACAGCTCAGCCCCCAACCTATACTGGTACTCAGGTTGCTCTTGCCCAGATGCAAGACTCCACACCTGCCCTTGTTCTTTCTCATTCCGTTTCTCCCCACCCAACTCTCCAGGTCTCGCTGGAAGGCAGCACAGCCTTTTGCTGTGTCAGCCACTCTGCCCAGTTTTGTGTCATCAGCAAACTTGCTGACAGCGCATTCCACTCCCTCAGTCAGAGGGAATTCTTCCTTCAGACACCTACCTACCTACCTATCTACTCTTTGCACCACTTCACCCCAACTGATTTTCATAGCTCTCTTCCTGTTGCAGATCTCACTAACAGTATTTTTCTGCAAATAGAGATTCAAAGCATATTAGCTTTATTCTTTTGGCCACACTTACTGAGGGTTTTGTAGTCTTCTCCTGCTTTGTTTCCTCGGATAAAAGCTTGAGTTTTTATAACGTCATTTATCTAGAATGAAAAAAAAACCCACTTAAGTGGAAAAGCCACTTAAACTTGTTAAGGGCAGAGTAAAAAAAAAAAAAGTGTCAGATACTGAATTCATTTCACAATCTCTTACGTTGTCTCTGAAATATTGCAGGTGATCTCTGTAACGCCTTCTGCCTTGATACATCCTGGCCAGTGACTGAATCTACAGGAAAGAATCCCAAAGCAGGTCAGATAAAAGTCTTCTCCACAAATATTGCTACCAAAAATGTTGAAGAAAAAAAAAAAAAACAAAAAAAAAAAACCATAGCATTTGCTACCTTCACTTCTTGGTCCTTGTGTGCTCGTCAGTAATCCGAACGGATTTGATATGCCTTCCTCTGTTTATAGCCACGCCACTGGGACTGAAAACACACACAAGAAAAAAGGCGACTTTTCAAAGTGAAGAGCAGTAATTTACTATTTGATGCTTCTTTCTGCTGCTCAGTTTCCACTTCCCTTTGGCTGAATAAAATGTAACAGAGACATGCTCATCTTACAAGACATGCCGTAAGAGATATGCAGTGCAGCCTTAACTATTTCTTCCACCACCAGCTGTCGTGAGGGACTTAGCAGCACCCCCAACAAGGACAAAACACAGCTAGAGAACAAATGACTAAAACTAAACAACCAAAAGCACCATCCATTGCACAATTCTCAAGGCCATCTTCAAGTCTCCAAACCCACGGACTAATGGGAAGAGGGAGAGAAGTAATTTATACATAGTGATTCCCAGGGAGAAGATAATGAAGATAATTGTGCATGGCAACTGCTTGACTTGAACAAAACGAGTCAGTAAGCGTGCGTGTGGAGAGCAACTGACAAGTACAAGCTTCAAACAGAATTAGGGGATTTCATACCTGCATGCAAGTGATGGCTGGAACTTGCTTCTTCAAAAACCTCATTCTGGAGTTGAATTCCTGACAGACAAGACAGCCTCGACAACGTGCCTGAAGCTTCACCAGCAGGTTCTCTTTGGCCAGCCACAACTGCTCTCGCTCGTATGCTGCCGTGACTCCAGATACAGTGCTCTAGATTAGTGTTATGGTAGGAAGAAGAGCCAGGAAGAGAAAAGGGAGATGCAAAAATGACATGTTACACAGCGGCTTCTGTATTCTGCTCAAGAGAAACTTACAAGTTGCTTTTCGGTGAGCAGCAACACCACCGTCTTGTTCTGGTGATCAAGGTGTGCACATTCTCCACAATAGGACAAAGAGGTGCTGACGTGCAAAGTAGACAACGAACAGGGAAATAAGATACAAAGCTTGCTAACATCACTACTGAGGTGAAACATTACATCTCAAAGTTGCAATAAGGCCTGAAATAGGGGCAACTTCAATTTCAGAGGAAAAGAGCACGTACTTTACCTGCATCTCCTCCCGTGACAGCTGTGTGTCATTCTGCACAAATTCTGTCGGCTCATCCCATCCTCCCTCTCTGGTCCTCACGTTATGATAATGATGACAGCCTCCTCTCACCCAGTGTTTCACCCGTTCACTGCCACTGCCTCCTGAAAGCAGAAATGCTGCTATGTTGAAAGCAAACACCTATCTATCTTCCTCACATACAAATACTACAGGAAGGAAATGCATGGAGAGGGCCCTTCCTCCAAGCAATAGAAGGAACGCCGCAGATTCCAATGAACCACCGCAAGAACTACCTAAGCACAATATATTCTACAAGTGGGGAATATTTCACTGCTACCTTTTTCATTTCCTTCCTACCTTTTTTTTCTTTCCGTTAACAAAGACTTCAGTTTACAAGGCAGCCTCAATTTCCTATAACATGAGATTCTAACAAGATACCCAGAACGCAAGACTGCTCCTCACATTGCTCCCCCTCTGCTTTCCATTCTACTGGCAATCATCTTGAATTTGCTGCACTAGCAGGTAGCTATTGGGGTTCACCTGTGGCCACTTTTCTCCTTTCGACTTCTGCCAACTCTCCCTGGTATGTCTCTGCACACTCTGCAGCGACTCCGTACAGCCCCACATCTGGTGAGCACAAGGCACTCAGGGTAGGGCTGGTATCTCCGTGACCGACTGCTGCATTCACGGCCAGAATGCCTAAGGAAACTTCAACAACAGGAGAGGGCAGGTTACCTGCGCAGTCAGGAGCTCAGTGGCTCACAACAAACTTCAGAGAGCAAGGCACTGTGCCAGTGTACACAAATACCTTCCTGTATTTATGCATAAAAATACTGATTAAAAAAAGACAACTTGGTGTACAACAATCTTTTCAGTACAGTGTGCATCTGTGTATGGCACAGTGTCTGACAGCGCTTTTTTTTGTGCTCTTAGTCCTACCATGGTGCTGATTTATCAACAGTATTTCTCTACAACCTTTTCTCCATTCACTCAGCTGTACTCTGACAACAGCTGTAGTCCAGGCAGCTTCTTCTTGCAGAGCCCTGCTACAGCAGACAACTGACTCAAAAAGCACCTTTCCAGTGACTGCACCGTTCCTAGCAAGAATAGCAACCTGAACACAGAACAGGTTATCAACAAGAACAAGATGAGGAAAGAGCAAACCCAGGGCTACTCCAGAACTCTGTTGCAAACACAGTACAAAATCAACCACAGGTATCTCACCGAAGCAGTAAACACGAGATACAGTCATTTTCAGCACTGAGCAAAGGTCTGTTCGCACACACAGAGGTAGAAGGGTATCTGAAGATCTTATTCAGGCTCAAAGAAACAGACTTTAATCCTGCTTTTGACCAAATGTTCTTGGGCACAGTCCACCTGCCAACTGCACTGATTTGTGTTGTTACCTGCACTTAGTGCAAAAAAAAAAAAAAAAGAAAGTACTTTGAGAATTACTTCATAGAATTCAGGCAACAGTACAACACAAATGAAAGCTAAGATGCACCACAACTGTGCACATGAACATCCTCTATTGGGTTGACTACCCAACCACAGACAGACACAGTGATCTTGCTAATGTCAAACACTTGGACAGAGATTCAATAGGTATCTCTGCCTAGGATGTAACACAGTCACAAGCACAACTGAAATGACATATCCTTCCAAAAAGATTTAAAGAATTGAAGTTTAAAGGCTGTGACATTCATTCTGGAAAGAAAAAACTTCTACACCTACCTGAAGCAAACACTTGTATTTTAATTTCCTTTGCATGTGTACATTTCTTGCTTGAGCCAAGGCACAGCTGTTTCATCCTGAGTGTCCTGAAGAGAATATGATGAGGAAAGCATTCGCAGCATGAGGAAAAGAGCGTCACTGGTTGTGCAAAACAAAACCACCACCTCTGAGCAATTGCAGTTTCAAGGGATACAGGAAGCACTTCAGTATCTTTCTAATCAATTTCAACACAAGGCCATAATGGACATTTGTTACTAGCAGAAGCAACTACAGCATTACCAGGCCAAAACTCCTCTCAGGACAAGGAACTCCCACCAAGAGTTCCAGCAGTGGTATCACTCCAACAAACATCAAGGCATCCCAACGCCAAGCAATCTGCACTGCTCAGTCCTAAAGCTGCATCTGCCAATAGGACGTGCCTTTCCAAGGAGCCCAAAAAAGAAAATCACGGAACAATTTAAGATGCAAAGGGACCTCTGAGCTCAGCTGGTACAAACCCCTTGCTCCAGCAGGGACACCGAGAGCACATTATCCAGGACAGACCAAATCCAGATGGCTTCTGAACAACCGCAAAGAAAAGACTCCAGTCCCTCTCTGGTCGACCTCCGCTACTGCTCAGTTACCTCCACTGCAAAGTGCTGCCTGACGTTTAGATGGAACCTCTCGAACCCCAGTTTGTACTCAATGCCTCTTGTCCTCAACTGCATCCTCACTTCCAGCTTTCACATACACTGAAGAGATTCCCTCCAAGCCCTCTCATCTCTAGACTAAAGAGTCTCCTCCCCCTCAGCTTTCCTCTCTGGAGAGCTGTTCCAGTCCCTCAGGCACCTCAGTGGCCCTACGCTGGCCTATCTCCAGTACACTCACGTCTGCTGTCTGGGGGGGCAGGGCAGAACTGGACACAGTACACGAGCAGCCTCACCAGTGCCAAGTGCAAGGATCACCTCTCTGCTGAAGCCTTCCAGGCAGCACGAGCACACTGCCCACTCACAGCCACCTGGCTGTCTGCCTACCAGCACTCCTAGCACTTTTCCTGAAAAGCTTTGTTCCGCTGAGGTGGACACAAACAGAGACTAACAGGAGTCCTTTCCCAGTACCAGGCTGCAAGGAGTTGTTCAGGGAAACTTCATTAAGTGGAAATGCACATACAGGAGCAGCAACCAAAAACCGAGGGGGAACTAACACAACAGCAGGCTGCTCTTGTCCCGTCCACAAAGCTTTGCAGATTTCTGTACCAGCAAATCAAAAAGCACTGCATGTACTGGGGGTAAATACAAATGTACAACAGTAAAAGCATCTCTCAAGTCTCTCTTTTAACAGACCATTTGCTGTGGAGTACTGACCACACCGTATCTTATGTTTTGGCTGAAGAAACTCATTAAATAATGTTACACGCAGAAATTGTCCAAGAGACAAGTGTTTAGCACCCCAAAATACACATAATGAACAATAGTCCAGCAGCTGCCAAGCACAGCTCCTCCACCCCCACTGTTGCTTCCTGGGGGTTACTATGGAAGGAGATCTGAAGAAGCAATGGCCATCCCTCCAACAACCCCTGATGTGCAAACAGGACACAGGAAACATTGACTTCTGACACGGATTAATAATCCCCCTGCACAAAGAGCCACTATATTCCAGCATGAAGAGTTCTGTGGCAGGACTGACAATTGACATTTCCTTACATACCCTCCACATTACCACTGCTTTGGATTGAAACCTACATCCCTTTAACAAGTCTTATCGGAATGTCCAAGGAGTCCCATGACTGCTTCAGCAATGTAGAAATTCCTGTTGGGAAGGGTGGCAGACTTAGAAGAACAAACTCTTGCACTGCCATCTCTACCAGCACAGTCATCAATCCCAGGACTGTCAAAGCCGTCTGATCTTTCCCGTGCATTTACTGTCACAGTCCCCCAGCTGGGACACGCGCTGTCACACACTGCAGGGTTAACACTTCTCTCACTGCTCATCACGTGAGAAATCGCATCATACGCCAGATCCCCTGCCTTGTGCTGAACTGCAATCCCTCTCAGTTCCAAGCTACACAAGTCACCAGCTAGTAAGCACGTTGACTCAGGACACAACTGTTCTACCCACAGTGCTGGTCTGTACCACGATCTCACCATCGCTGAAATTGCTGCCACGTTGCAGGGAGGAGCCCCACATTGAACATATGCCTCAGTGAAGTAATTTCACGTCAACTGAAGTCACCAATCCAGCCTGGCAGAAGCTTCCACACCAAGAACAACTCCTTATTTCATTCTCACTCAGTAGGAGGAAATGCTTCAGCACAAAATGGGTTCCTGAGGAACAAGAACCCTTTCAGGGCCTCTGAGGAAGCTGCTCAGTGATCTTCATCACCAGCGCAGTTTTCGGACACTGCCATCGTGAAGGTTTACACTTAGTCAAAAAAAACAAAGCAAACAAACATACTAAAAAACACCCATGTTGAACACAGTATCATCTCAGTCTCTATGCTAAAATCCCTGCTGGAATTAGAACAATGAGCTCCACAACTGAAAAGATAGTACAAAAAGAAATTAAACACGCGTAGGCAACTGAAAGGAAGCACATCTGCTACTTCTGTGTAAGCATAAGGAAATAAAATAGCATCCCACTCATCTGTTAAAAAAAAAAATCAGTAGCATGTACACCACAGAATCACAGGGTTGGAAGGGACCTCAAGGATCACGAATCTCCAACCCCCTGCCCGAGGCAGGGCAACCAAACACCACCCATACAGCGTTTCATCTTCCTTCCTAAGCCAGTAAGGTGAGATCATTCTTCCTCTCTCCATTTTCACCTGTACATACAGACCAGTTACACAAAGAGGCAACTCCATCTAAGTCAGGAGAAGTCCTGGGCTACCACAACAGACAACCACCATGCACAAAATGCATAGCATCTGCAGCGTCACCTAGCGAGTGATAGGCATTCATACACATCTTGCTAGAAGCATATATTTTGTTTTCTGTTTTCCCCTCCTTCTGAACAAATTCATCACCTAACAAGTTTTTTTTCCTATTTCTCAAACCTCATTTTTGCTTGATGTAACTACACCTATGGATACATTTAACAAATAGCACTAAAAAATGGAGACTGAACGAGACTTGCATTTGGAAATTCACAGCTATTAGGATAAACACTGCCTTCTTATAAAAACAAATGACACTGAACACATCTCCTCATATCTCCAAAAAGAAGGTACGTCTGCCACTCTGGACGTACGATTAGCTAGAGCAATCCATCTCCAGCAGTTCATATCTTGAAGCCCATCTCTGTAGTTCACCAAGATTCACGTGTTATGCCTGCATCTCTCTTTCCTTCATACAGACAGATCCAAACTGGCCAGGTAACATCAGCTGATAGCATGCAGCGTTCACCCTTTCATTTCCAGATCTGTTTCCCAGCTTTTCTCCCAACGTCAGGAATGCCCTCAGTACACAGATGCAAAGGCTTCTTGAGAGGTACTTTTAACTACACCCACCTGTGCTTTCTCTCTCTTAGCCCGAAGCAGTGTGCCCTGATAATGCTGACCTACCTGTGGGGTTACACCCTCCAGTTTTGCTGCAGGAATCTGTATAAGGCTTGCAGAGCTTTTCTGGTGTCTCCTTCATCCAGCGCCTCGCTGATAAGCCCAACAGCCAAAACTCCTACAGAGAAAGGGATAGAAGAACAAATACAAGATCCAATCCTTATCCAATCCTTTACCATCATCACAAAACTGTGCTTTGGAAGAAAAGTGCTGTTAGTGCTAAACCAAATACCCGCTGAGAATAGCAACATCTTAATAGCAATCATTTTCTACTAGCAAAGAAAGCAAGACCACTTCTCCACCTTCAAGAAGCCACACACTTTTGGACACAGTAATAAATAAAGGAAAAAGGAGAAAAAAGATCCCTCGGGGAGACCACATGAATGGACACATGAATGAGTTCTTCAACACGTAGCTCAAATCCACTAGAAGGGAATTATCAAAACCTCAATGGCCAGGGCTAGTAAGTTACAAGCTTGCAAGAATCCTTCAGAATCAAGCTCTTCACACCAAGCTATAGCTTTGCACAGAACGCCATTCAGAAATACACTGCCTTCACTTCTGAAATACCAGCATTTATTGGATGCATGTACTAGGAGCTGTATTACAACAGATAACAGTGGGTGCTGCCAGGGACAGCGAGGACTACAGCTCAACTAACTGAAAACAGACATAAATAGATAGCTTGCAGTTAGCTAAATGTGAACAAAGCCTGAGTCACACATGCCAAACCTACAGCAAATCACAAAGTCATCTGGCTTGGAATGGACACCCAGAGATCGTGTGATGCAACGTATATTGAATATTCAATTATTGCTTGCTGAAAGAAGCAGCAGTTCAAATCACAGTTGGAGAGTTTACAACAAAGATCTTTCAGAAGAAAGCGAGGAGCTCAGAGTGGATACAACTTGGGTTAAAACACCCAAAGACTGCAGCTTTTTCTTCTGCACGCAGTAGGAGAATCACAGTGTGGAACGTTTTATGGCAGGCACTGCATTTGGACAGAGCAAAGATTAAGGAACAATACACGCTAGGGACACCACAGGAACCAGGATTGCTAAGAAGACCGTACGACTGCTGTAAAAAAGCACCATGTCAAGGACCATTTAACTAACTACGCTTTCTTTAATGACAAGGTCACCTCTGTATTTCACCTAGAAAAGCCCGTTGAGGGCTTTTTGGATTTCAGTCAACTTTTCAGCACCGTTTCTCACAGAATCCTGGACAAAACATCCAACATACGACTAGACAACAATACAATGCAGTGGGTGAATGAGTGGCTGAAGGGTCAGGCCCAAAAAGCCACAGTAAACGAGGTCACATCGCTCTGGCAGTCAGTCACTCCGGGGGTTCCCCAGGGCTCTATTTTAGGGCCAGCTTTCTTGAATGCTTTCATAAAGACTTGGATGTAGGACTAGAAGGTGTTACGAGCAAGCTGACTGACAACACTAAACTGCGAGGAACTGCTGAGTCTGTGGAGGGTGAAGAGGCCTTGCATAGAGATCCTGAGAAATTAGAGAGCTGAGCAATCACCAACTGCA